TATAAGTGCACCGCTCAATGAAGCTACACAGAGACACCCTAATTCTCTTTAGGTTACTCTGTCAAAATATATGATACTAGATAGCTGATTATTAGGAAAGGTAATTTTATTTATACAGGACATTTTCAGTCTTTATATTTGTATTCAGCCCATTTTTGTTGCATAGGGGGAAGCAATGCAGAAAAGCAGAATGTCAAAATTTGCACTAGTAATTTATTAAAAGTCCAGATTTTGACATCATGACATTCTTCCTGAATACTATAGGTTTTATTGGATTGTTAATGTTAGCTTTTCAGAAAATTAACTATCTGGCGCCATTATACTGTGTTTCAAGGGTATTATTTAACCAACAAGATTACTGCTACTCGTTAAGATCCAAATTAGAAATCTGCTCCAAAATTAGGGAAAGTTTCTCAATCCTTGTTAGACTTATGCATAAAAAGAAACTCTTGGCTATTTTTTTTTACTAAGAGTGTTATTGAAAGACTGTAATTTTTTTGTTTTCATATAATTTTTTGTATGTTCATTGAGATTTATTAGATTTTTTTTATGAATTTACATTTATTGCTGTTGTTTTTCAACACTTTGATGCAACTTTGTTTAGTTTGGAGTACACATGAAGAACACAGTGTTCTTTTTAAGACTTTAAGCAGTCAGTGAAATGAAACGGGAACACATTGAGATACCTTCATCAAAAAGAAAAGCCCAGAGTGTCATATTCAAACAGGATCAGCACAACTAAAACACATGTTTGAATCAAACCAAAAGTTGATTTTGGGCCCCACAGACCCTCAGAAGCCTCTTCTGGGAGCTCCCTCCACTGGCTGTCTGGAAAGAACACATCATTTAAAGCTGGTTTTGTTTATAGTTGGAGCAGAGGTAATAAATGAAGAGTCGCTAATAAGTGGTTAGCAGAACTTATCATGGTTAAGAGGAGAGAAAGGTATACCGCTATCCTGTTAATGCAAAAGGAGATGGACAGTGCAGTCTTTGCAGACCTTTGCATTCCTTGCATAATTATACCCTGTTGTCAAGGAGGGAGGAAGGAAGAAGGGAGGGAGTGAGGAAAAGGGGCAGTGGATCCAGAAAACTCAAACTCTCTGAACTCTGGAAACTATAAACTAGCGGGTGAAATAAACAATACACTTAAAGCGATATACCTTGTCTTTCTTTTAATTTTTTCTGGTCTTTCTTTTATTTTTTCACTTTTTAAAGATATGGAAATTGAAAGTCACACATGAAAAATTCCAAATCAGTCAAGGGATACAAAATTATTTTTTTAAAATTTTATTTCAAAATTATGACATTTATTGTCAAAATCATGACTTCAGAACACATCGTTTTGACTTGAACAATAATGACTTCTGAAGTAAACACTATGACATTTTATCTTGAAACTATGGCTGTAAAAAGCTGACTTGAAATCCTTATTTGTATCTCACAATCATGACTTTAAATATCAAATTGTCAGGTTCTGTGTTTAATTCTGAGTTTCTGTGTCCTGAGTTCTCCTCGTTGTCCTGTCTTCCCTTGATTGTTCCCAGGTGTGTCTTGTTCTCCTGATTACCCTCAGTGTATTTAGTCCCTCCTGTGTCCTTTGTTCCTCGTCGGGTCCTTGTCATTGTTTGTTGTTGTCGTACTTTTGTTGTCAGCCAGATTGTCGTTGTTTGTCGTACTTTTGTCAGATTGTCGCTCGTTTGTTTTGTGCCGCCCTTAAGACCAGTTGCTACCGGTGTGAGCCCTGGCTTCTGCTCAGCCGTGCTGCCTGGCCGCGGACTACTGTTTGGACTGTTTTTGTGGATTATTTTCATTAAATTACTCGCCATTCAACTTACCTGGGTCTCCAGCGTCTGCCTCACCACCTCCACCACCACACTTCATGACAGAAGGACCCGACCAAAAGGAATTACGGTGAGGCCGCATTATGGACCCAGAGGGTTTAGAGGAGCTGCTCCGAACCATTCGCGAGTATGAGGAGTCAAGGAGTACGTCCTCGTTTGCGTTGAGGCGACTGGGGTTCGCCATACGCCTGGGACTGCTGTTGGACTACTGGGTTCCACGTCTCCAGCACCCCGCGCTGGTGGAGCTGCAGCGGGAGGCAGAGGATATACGCCAGACAGCCTTCGCAGCGTGGGATGCTAAACCTCTGCCTCCCAGGCCAGACATCCGCTCCGCCAGCCCAGCCCCAGCTCCAGCCTCTGCTCCTCGTCCTGCTCCGCCGGACCCCGCTCCGGCTGCCGTTCCTGCTCCGCCGGACCCCGCTCCGGCTGCCGTTCCTGCGCCGCCGGACCCCGCTCCGGCTGCCGTTCCTGCGCCGCCGGACCCCGCTCCGGCTGCCGTTCCTGCGCCGCCGGACCCCGCTCCGGCTGCCGTTCCTGCGCCGCCGGACCCCGCTCCGGCTGCCGTTCCTGCTCCGGCTGCCGTTCCTGCTCAGCCGGATTCCGCTCCGGCTGCCGTTCCTGCTCCGGCTGCCGTTCCTGCTCCGCCGGATTCCGCTCCGGCTTCGGCTCCTGCTCCGCCGGACCCCGCTTCGGCTCCTGTTCCGCCGGACCCCGCTCCGGCTTCGGCTCCTGCTCCGCCGGACCCCGCTCCGGCTTCGGCTCCTGCTCCGCCGGACCCCGCTCCGGCTTCGGCTCCTGCTCCGCCGGATTCCGCTCCGGCTTCGGCTCCTGCTCCGCCGGATTCCGCTCCGGCCTCCGTGGACTCTGCTCCTTGTGCCGCTGCTCCTCCCGAGATCCCTAGTGCTCCTTCCGAGATCCCTAGTGCTCCTTCCGAGATCCCTAGTGCTCCTCCAGTGTCCCCTAGTGCTCCTCCAGTGTCCCCTAGTGCTCCTCCAGTGTCCCCTAGTGCTCCTCCAGTGCCCCTAGTGCTCCTCCAGTGTCCCCTAGTGCTCCTCCAGTGTCCCCTAGTGCTCCTCCAGTGTCCCCTAGTGCTCCTCCAGTGTCCCCTAGTGCTCCTCCAGTGTCCCCTAGTGCTCCTCCAGTGTCCCCTAGTGCTCCTCCAGTGTCCCCTAGTGCTCCTCCAGTGTCCCCTAGTGCTCCTCCAGTGTCCCCTAGTGCTCCTCCAGTGTCCCCTAGTGCTCCTCCAGTGTCCCCTAGTGCTCCTCCAGTGTCCCCTAGTGTTCCTCCAGTGCCCCCTAGTGTTCCTCCAGTGCCCCCTAGTGTTCCCCCAGTGCCCCCTAGTGTTCCTCCAGTGCCCCCTAGTGTTCCTCCAGTGCCCCCTAGTGTTCCCCCAGTGCCCCTAGTGTTCCTCCAGTGCCCCCTAGTGTTCCTCCAGTGCCCCCTAGTGTTCCTCCAGTGCCCCCTAGTGTTCCTCCAGTGCCCCCTAGTGTTCCTCGGCACCATGGACGCCCTCCGGACCTCGCCCGTGGGGTCTGCCGCGGGCGCCGAGGACGCCCTCCGGACCTCCCCTGTGGGGTCTGCCGCGGGCGCCGAGGACGCCCTCCGGACCCCCCTTGACGCCTCTGCCCTCTTTCTGTTTAGTTTTGGACTCTTGGCCCCTCCTTGTGTTTCCGCCCACCTTTTGTGGGTAGTTTTTTGTTTTCTGGACTCTGGCCCTCCTTCCGTCGCCCCTCCGCCCACCCTGGTTTTTGAGTTTTGGATTTTGGTTTTGGGCGTCTGGTAGCCGCCCTTTAAGGGGGGGGTACTGTCAGGTTCTGTGTTTAATTCTGAGTTTCTGTGTCCTGAGTTCTCCTCGTTGTCCTGTCTTCCCCTTGATTGTTCCCAGGTGTGTCTTGTTCTCCTGATTACCCTCAGTGTATTTAGTCCCTCCTGTGTCCTTTGTTCCTCGTCGGGTCCTTGTCGTTGTCGTTGTCGTACTTTTGTTGTCAGCCAGATTGTCGTTTGTCGTACTTTTGTCAGATTGTCGCTCGTTTGTTTTGTGCCGCCCTTAAGACCAGTTGCTACCGGTGTGAGCCCTGGCTTCTGCTCAGCCGTGCTGCCTGGCCGCGGACTACTGTTTGGACTGTTTTTGTGGATTATTTTTCATTAAATTACTCGCCATTCAACTTACCTGGGTCTCTAGCGTCTGCCTCACCACCTCCACCACCACACTTCATGACAAAATTTGGACTACCTTCTAATCTTGTATTCAAATCCATAGTTACTTGTTTTATTCTTTTTTTATTCTGATTTTTGTTAATGTTATTTTATTTACTTATTTATTAGCCTGACTTTAAACATGCATACTTCTATTTACCTTTACCTTACTGCTAGTAGACCAGAATTTCCCCACTGTGGAATAATACTGTATATTTCTATTCCATTAAGTTTTAATTATGAAACTTATGACTTTAAATGTGAGCATACTTTTTGTTTTTTAATTAAAAAGAATTTTGTATCTATCTCCCAATTGTGACTCCTAGGAGTCAAAGAATAATTTTGTATCTCATAATCCTGAATATCACATATAAAATTGAGATTTAAAATTGAAATATTTTAATAATGAAAGTCAAAATGAAAAACTGATTGGCTTCTTAAAAGTCCAAGTTATTGCAATAATTTCTAAAGTGATTCTCTCTGCATCCCCACTATTTAAAGCACCTTTCACTAGTTAGCCTCTCACACTCACAACAATGCACACATTCATTTACACAGATCGGTTGGCAATATAGGAGCCTTGCTCAGGGGCACATCAACAAGTGACTGGGGGAAGCTGAAAAAAATGACTAAATATGACTAAAATACATAATTGTGGCTGATTCTCTTCTGAATTATTTTGAGACTAATAATTTTGCATTCTCTTCCTCAAAATCACGATTTTAATTAGTAACCACTTATAAAATTGACATAATTTTAAATTCACAAAAAAAAAAACAACAACAAATCATATGACTTTTTTTTTTCTTTCAAGTGGCTAAAATTGTCTATTCAAATCAGCTTCGCAGAGGCGCTAAATTAGTCTCTGAAGTCAGTTGAGTGTTTTCCCTAAGTCATGCCACGTTTGACAGTACTATGGGTTGAGCAAACCCTCCTCCTTCTGCTCCTCCTGCTGCTCCTCTCTCTCTCTCTGCTGCAGCTGTCCGACGCTCTCAGAGGGCAGACGGAAAACTTCCCGAAGTTGCCTTTTCCTCCTGCGGCGCAGCGTTTAGGTTTCACCTCCACCACGGCCCCCCGCGGCAGCAGCCCCGGCATGCTGGACTCAAACGCCTGAAGGGCGGGATGGCATCGGCCGTGTTTGAAGGCACGTCTCTGGTCAACATGTTTGTCCGGGACTGCTGGGTTAACGGGATCCGGAGGCTCATCATAAGCCAGCGCGGAGAGGAAGAGGAGTTCTTCGAGATCCGAACCGAGTGGTCCGACAGGAACATTTTATACTTGCATCGGAGTTATTCCGACCTGGGCCGGCTCTTTAAGAGACTGCTGAAGTCCTTTCCAGAGGACAGAAAGGACTTATCTAAATCTCCGCTGATAGAAGGTCGGTAAGATGGGAGAAACAGATCGAGACAGACAGGAAATGATGACAGACACTTATTATTACAGCTGGATGTTTAGACTGATGGTGAAAAACGCGCTAAATTAATGCGAACCTGTACAAATATTACCTTTTGATGATATTATGCATGCATGTTAATCCAACCAAGGCATCTCTCAAAAGTTAATTAGACATAATGAAAGAAGTATCAAAACATTATATTTGTATTATGATTAAAATTGAAATAGCCAATTTCTGTTTTATAGATTGACTGAGTTTGCTGGCTTTTTAATAGAATGACAAGAATCCACCACATGCCTGCATCAGGAGCTGATAAGTCCTATGTTTCAGTGTTCATTAAATAGCCTACAGGATGATAAGAGTGGGTTCTCTTTGTACTTGGAAGCTTGATTTTCGAAAGTCTGACAGAAATACAAGAGTCGGAATTCTGAATGGGAAAGTCAAAGCTCGCAAAACAACCCTGAGTTTTGCATCCAATTTGGCTGCCAAGCATATAAGATCTCAGGACAGTGGTATTAGCACACACAGTAGTGAAAATTTTGAAATCAATGCATGAATTGATTTGTGTTACTAGTAATAGTTATTTATAAGATGGCTGATCAAATCTTTCTATTTTCTGAGTTGCAAAGAGAGCACCTCCAAATAGGATGTGACATCGTTCCCATCTTGGAGCTCTGACCACCATAATAACTCATATCACACTCAATCTGTTTTAGCTTATATTTTTGGTTAATTTCCCCAAATGTTTCAGTGGGACCCCACCCTGCAATCCTTAGAAAACTTTCTAGCATCTCTCCTGCATTGTAGGAATCTTATGTGCAGGACTTTTCCCTTTTTGAGGTATCTGCAAAGTTCAGGTCTCTTTTCCAGAAATTGGCATTTAATTGAACAGTACAATTCTTTGGATATTCATGATTCTGCCTCAGACAGAGCAACTGCTGGTGTTTCGGATTTCACTCTTTTTTCTTTTGTTTGACTCCAGAACAGCTGTGGAAATCATTTCAAAATGTATGTTTTTTTTCTCAGCTTCAACACACTGCTGCACAAGCTTGCAAAGTCTCAAACTAGCTACCATTTTGTAGGGTCAAACTTCATTGCATTTAATAGGATTTTAATGTGATAGGCCACCAGAACAAAGTGGAAGTAAAATACCAATGGGAACTCTGGAGGACTTGCAGAGATCTGCCATGTTTGAGGGAGAATTTGACAACAATTAGGGATTTACTCTATTTGAATTTCACAGAGATACACGCTACAAAAATTCCCTCTTAAAGTTTGCCACAAGCCACGCAGGGAACAGCAAACATGTGGAAGAAGATGTTCTTGTTCGGTAAGACAAGAATGAAACTTTTCGCTTAACAGAATAGATCTAAACAAATTAATATATTTTGATAGGCTAATAAGTGTCCAAACTGATTATGCAATCTTGAATCTCCAGTTGGTTTTGAAAATATGCTCAGAGATGCTCTCTGACTGAGTTTTAGCAGCTTTCAAAAGAATGGTTAGGAAGTTTCTGTAGGGTCAAGTGTTGCTGCTGCAAATGTGGCAAAAAGTGCTTCTATTAACTCAGGTGCCTGAAGGCAAATGCACAGGAATCATTTTCCTTTCGCTTCACAATTATGCACTACTTTATGTGGATCCATCACACTGGTAAAAATAACAAAAACATCTGTGAATACTTTTTCTATGGCACCACATGTACACTCCTTAGGGTTATGCAAATCCAAAGGGATGATGATATGTTTGATAGTGGATACATTTGTTAAGGCTCTGAGGTTACTTTGAGCTGCTCATAGGTAGCATTTACTTCAGCCAGTTTGAACAAGTTAATGATCAACAAGTTCTTCTTTAGGATGCGTTTGCAGCATCCCTGTTGTGGAGCAGGCAGCATGTTTCTGTTATATTTCAACATAGTTAAAGCAAAATATATTCTGTGGCTTTTGTGGGTGTATGGGATGTGTTTCTAGGTTGTGCTAATTAAAACACATTACAAATCCATCCATCTTTATGCATAGTAGTAAATGTCCATAGCCTTTGCACAGGCTGTTTGGTGATGTGCTCATTGAAAGGAAATTGTGGAATTTCTTAGTTTTGATGCATTACTTTGGGTTTTTACCCGAAAGCTCTGCTTTGCTCTAAGTAGAGAAGTTCAGATAAGCATTTTGTTCTCAGAATGCAAGTAAAATCATCATATCCCCCTAAAAAGCCTAACAAGCAAATTACTATTTTGTGCTAAAATCATTTCAAAGGATCAGTTCAAAGAGAACTTAGGAATAATTTGCTGTTGGAAGAAAATCAAACGGAAGTTGTTGTACCACTTACATAAATGTCATCAAACCTGAAAGACATGCGATATATTACTGTTAATACAGGAAAAATAGCTTTGCATGAGAAAAAAATTATTTAATTGTATGGCAAACTAAACTTTTCTGTTCTGTAACTTCAGCTTGAGTAACAACAGATTTTAAATTATTGATCTCTATGGACCAGTTTGTGACATCTCTATGTTGGGCCTCAGTATTTTCAGCTTTAGCTGGTTCTATGCTGAAGTTGCCTCAGATTTGGCACAGTTTCCGATTTATTCAGTGTTTGAGTTTCCTTTGCACTTCCCCTTTGTCTCTGTACCCCGCGAGCCGATGCAAGTGTTTCGGAAACATCCCTTTAGTGGAGGCTGGAAAAGCTCTGCTTCCTGCCTGGGCCCTGAAAGAGCTGACAGAGTTGTTGACAGCTCACTGGCTTCCCTCTTCCTCTGTAGTGTTTGGTGTATTTTGGGAAGAGGCTTTCTGGGTCACATGACTGACTTTTTGCTTCTTTATTTTGTCCGTCACCTCTTATCCAGACCACAGCTGAACAGTAAATGTCAGGTTCATGTAGTCTAGGAAAGTCTGGAAATGTCTGGAAAAGTTTATATAAAATTTGATTGAAATTCTGCAGGTTTGAATACATTTGGATTAAGAAAACAGAGTGTTATTGATTCAATTTTACCTTTTGAATAAATAAAACATTTTTGAATTTGAATTAGAAGAATACAGTAAAATGCCTTATTTATATATTTTATATATTACTATAAATGTCTGAAGGTCTGATCTTACTCCCTCCCTCATGTACTTCTTTTCTTTTTTGTGCTTTCACCTTTTTTCCCTCTTTTCCTCCTCCTTTCTATTCTTCTGCCTTTCTATAGTTGCATGTGTTCTTCATTCTTTTTTCCCTGTTCTACCTCTTGTCCTTTCTAATATCCTTCCTTCTGTCTTTTGTTGTAACCTTCTATCTTTCTTTCCATTTATCCTCCATAGAAGAAAGTAGTTTTTTCTTTCCTTAATTACTTTTTATGTCTTTCCTTGCTATTTCCTTTCTGTTTTTTTTGTTGTCTTCCTTCCCCCCCTGTCTTCTGTTTCTCATCGTTCTTTCTTTCCTTGTGCCATTTTTTTCTTTGTCCTTTTAATGTCTGCAACCTTTCTTTCCTTGTATTTTCCTTCTTTATTCTTGTGTCTTTCCTTTCTTTGCAGTTTCTTGCTTTTCCATTTTTGATGTTAACTTTTTTTTTTCATCAGGAGAATCCCCACTGAGAATAAAAATCTCTTTTGCCAAAGAATCCTGGCCGATATTGGCAGCAGGACACAAAATGCTCCATATTTCACTGTAGAAATATTGCAACCATCTTTAGTACTTTGAATTAAATATAGAATATTGGAAAGTTTGGAATTTTTTTATGAAGTTTATAGAAACTGTCAATGGATGCTGTTGATAGTTGAGGCAGAAGTTAAGCTACTTCAGTCATTCAGGGCCGCTTCAACGAGTCACCAGTATTCCAAACAACACGGGTTTAATTACATTCTTTCACATTCAATATTTTATTTGCGTGCCTCGAGCGTTGTTTAGATTGACGGTCCTTTCCCAGTCATGTTTTCCTGTAACTGTGGAGCACCCGGGCAACAAAGAGGGCGTGTAGAGCTTTTCAAACTGATGTCATGATGAGAAAGAGATTTAGAGAGCGACTGAGAGAGGAGGGAGACCGGCCATTTTTAGCCTGGTGTGTACATGTGACCTCAGTGTGAACATCAATTGGACCCGATTGCTCATAGTTCATGTGAAATAGGTATAATTAAAAATCCAACTGGGTCACTGTTTCCTACAACTCAAATACTTTAATTAAAATAGTTTAGGACTGATGGACAGTAATTTACTTGCTGTTTTTGAGAATTTTAGTAAACTATTGGGTTATTCTGGCATTATCAAACTGTCCTTAAAGAAGATTCTGCAGTTTCGCCCTCTACAAATAGCCTTTAAAAATAAATAATGATGTTTTTGTGACGTTCCAGGCTGCTCTTATATTGTTTTATTTTTTATGAGCGCTAATCCCTTTCTTTCTATTATAATGATCCAAAAATATTCATAATAAGATTCAATTCTGAATTTAAAAACCACTTTCATCCTGTGAAATGATTACATGTGTTTAAAATACATTTTATGCACAAAGAAATTTATAGAATATAATGAAAACATTTTAGAGTTTCACTTCAAGAATGCAAGTGTGTCTCATAAATGAGAGTACACAGCAGCAGGTTCAATAGCTGCCTGAATGAAGTTGTTTACAGAATAGTGTTGTTAGCTTGTTGACGGCGATAATAAGAAATAACATGCTGACCAAACTGCTGTGTGTTGGTGGTTGAGTGATTATGTGCTAAACTGCTGACATATGCTTATCAGATCCTCACAGACGATGGTTGTGACTCTTACAACATCTTCTGATGATTTTGAACTCTCCGTTTAAAGATGAATTTGACATTTCTGAGCTCATATGTTAGATTATGTATGATAATAATAATTGCTATTTACCTCAAACGAGGCAGTTTCTTGATTCTACCCAAAACTTACTGGCAGCTAAAAGGAAACGTCTTTAAGGTCTTCATAGTTATCAGCTTTAAGGCCAGCAAATCTAACTGAAGAGCATTTCATAATGAGTTAAAACATAACATCAGGAAGACAGGAAGTCCATGCAGGAAATAGACACTTCAATGGGAAATTGAAGGAAATGGTCTCAGGCGTTTTAGTTGGAAAACAAGACAGATTTGCTATGGCATATTTTCTGAAGACAGTTTTTGAAGGATAACTGGACAACTATAAAATCTAAGCTTATTTCTAAGCTTATTTGGAAAACATAGTTGATTTCTGTCTTGTATTGTGTTAATTGCAAGCATAGCAAATTGCAGATGGGGTTTCCAGGAACACTGAAAATACCATCTTCAGTGGGACTTTTCTTCCTATGTGGTTTAAAACTTTTCTCTGTCCTCTTCCACTGTAGAAATCTGGGACACACATTTTACAGCGATCAGCTGACGTGAGTCACACATTGACTAAATAATGAAGCATATATCTTAATAAGAGCAATGAGTGGCTCTCCTTCAGTTTCCTCATGATGACTGTCCATGTTTTTCATAAGCATGGTTACAATGAAAAGTGGTGCCGTTTTCTGTTCATTAGCTGTGGTTCTACTGAAGAACAGAAACTTTACAGCAGTATATGTAGTTCATTAATGAGCTATAAATAGTTGGAATTGTTCATGATAATGTTTTTAACTTTTTAAAGCTTGTATATTGATATTGTCAACCAGTCCAATCTAGGAAAACACATTTTTAAAACTTCCTGTTAAAGAAAACTTCTGGGCATTAAGATTCTCTAAATGTTTTAGGATTTAACCATCCAGTAATTCTCCAACCCCCTGGGAATGATGCAATCCCTTTAAATGGTTGAGGCTGTGGGTGCACATAGCACCAGTTCTTCTATGCAACAGTGCCTGTTCTGTTTATGTTGTTTAGATGAGACAGAGCCTCGTCAGTTTGATCTCAGTATTTGTTCTTCAAACTTCTCACCACATCCCTTTCTGTCGACATGGCAGTAAATGACGCCTCCCTGACCGCCCAGTCTGAGGGGTGGCAGCCACATATCACCAAACAGGATGATATTTATCCACCCACTACCTTCCAAATATGCATCCCCTCTTTTGTTCAAGACTTAAAGTATCACAGACTTTGGTATGCAGCATCTCTTATTACCGTTCTGTGTTATTATGTGCTGTTAAACAAATGTCAATGGTTACACAGTAATTTTACAGCAACACTTTATGGAGTTTCTTGTGCTCCTGTTGCAAGAGCAGGTACCATTGTTAAGAAAAAGGTTACTTTAATAAAAGCTTGGCCACTTCTTTTATGCATCTAGATTGACCTTTTTTAAAAAAATCGAACTTTTCCGATTGCTATGTCCTGAGTTTGCAGATAGCTAACGCGTTGTTTCAGTAAAGGTCACAGCAAAAGCCTTGATTAATTGTCAAAGTACAAAAATAGTTGTGCTTGACATTTCAATTTGGTCTGTTTCTTTGTAGATTAAAGGTTTCTGTACATAGCAGTACTTAAAGGTGGATGGATAAATCCATACAAGGAGCAAAGCCTTCAGCAGTGTAACAACTAACAAAAACGCTTGGATTCTGACAATTTATAATGTATTAATATACACATTTAAAGAAAAAGATGCTGTACTAATCTTAGCAATATAATGTGACTACCTTAATCATAATCATACCACTTAACATGCATTAAGCTACCACATAATATATACATAAAATTAAAAAATCCCTTCTCACCCACCGCGGGTGGTTTTATCTTATATATATACACACATATATATACAGTATATATGTGTGTGTGTGTATCAATATTTTCATCCCCATCCATACATTAATTTTTTTCTTTTTTGCAGGTTTGGTAAAAATCAAAGATGCACATGACATTGAGGAGAAGTTGAATGAGGTGGAAAGACTTCTAAAGAATGCCATCAACATGCCATGCAAGGTTAGTAATTCAATTAAAACTGTCAGTATATTTTTAATGTGACAAAAAAAAAAACACCATTCATAATTATGCCATAAAATGGAGGGAGTAAGGCCAGAGAGATAACAAAGTCAAATAGCTACAACAAACCCTCTTTCCCAAATTCCATTGACTAAATAAATAACATACTGGTGTATATTTAGAGGATTAAATCACTAAAACTGCATTGCATAACCACCACCAGGGTACCTGGAGTTATCACTTTATCACTTTATTTTTTACAGGTGATATTTCAACAGATAAAATCAAAAAAGTAAAATGAAAAGCAGCAAATCCTTAAGAAGATGTGACAGTAATATTCATTATTATTTAAAATGACTTGCTTCAGAGTTTAAAACTCTGGGCTACATAAAATATTTGTAAAGTAGAATAATGAACAACACAAATAAAAAAGTATGACAGGGTAGAGAATTATGACAAGTCTAATGTTGACATAAACTTTTTGTTTTAGTTGATGATACTTGTATTTATTTACCATGCAATGTTAAAGACACACTCAAATGTTTTTTTTTTTTTGTGATCTTTCATTTCATGTCAGTACTATTGATGTTCCAGAGTCTAAAAACATCCCTCCTCCAGTTTTCCAGGTCGGAGGTGATGTTGACTTTCTTTGAACGCTCGCCGCTGGACCAGGTGCTAAGGAATGACAAAGTCCACAGAATCCAGCCGTGCTTTCAGAGTCCAATCAACATATCAGGTACATGTCCATGTGGAACATATTGATCAGTGAACTAATTTCATCCCCCAGCTTTTGAAAAAGTTCACTTATGATGCAATGATGCACTCTGTACCTTTCAGAAATCATGCGGTCGAACGGATTTTGTCTGGCCAACACAGAAACTATTGTATTTGATGATAGTATACCAGAGGAAAAAGAAAGACCGTCCTCCACAGACTCTGGCGAGCACACGTGAGTATTAAGCTTGCAGGTTACTTTGTAAGATAAGCTTAGACATATTCTGTGCATAAAAAAACAAATTTATCATATCATTCTGGAGCTAACTTTTAAGTAAGATTGTGTCAATTTTGCATCACCTTTTTGACTACTAAATTTGCTATTTTTCCACAAATCCTACTCTTTCCATGTTTGCTTCTGAATTGTTGAGTGATGAAGACTATCCACTGCCTTCGTGCATTACAGGAAGTCTATCTGTACACCTCTTCCTTCCTTCTTTGTGTAGGAAGCAAAAGCGGAACACATTCTTTTGGTACTTGCCACAAAGCAGCTTTTGAAAAATAAGAATGGGGTCAAAATGTCACAGTTTATTGCTTACAGTTAAAATTATACCTATATTTTCAAATATATACATCCATATACATATTTTAATGTTTAAGAAGTTCATCAAAATATTTTGTGATATTGTTAATGAACTCTATAAGAAGAACTTTTTAAATAACTTATTAAAAGCCCACAATAAATATGACATTTCCGCTAATGATGAGTGTAAACTTTTGACTGGACCTGTTTTGGATTTTTCCTAAAGGTATGATGACGGAACAGAATTTTTGCCAATGGAAGCAGACGTGTGTGACGGGGAAACAGAAGCGTATGTCACCAACCTCTCCTACTATCATCTGGTCCCTTTTGAAACGGACATCCTGGAATGAACACTTGTGGATGGATATTTCTCCTTCAGCTGAGCTGAACTATGCAACTCTGCACATAGCTGCTCCAGTTCAATGCTGCTGCTCCTAAATGCAACAGTTTCCTGAGTTGGTGAACTTTGGAAGAATGCTGCAACATCACCACTTCATTCCCTTCACGGGACATCACCAGTGTGCCTCAGTTGGAGTCTTAACTCTTTATCATAAATGTTACAGATCTGATGGTGTCAGCTCGACTAAGACATTTTCTTAAAATGCTAGTCATCCACTTTAACAGGACTAAAACCGATCTGCATTTGTAGTAAGCATCCGGTTAGGGAAACCATACATCAGTCGAAGTTTCAATAGAGTTGTAATTTATTGGATCATTCAGTGTTAATGTAATTGACCAGCAATCAATTCTATTGACTGGGCTGGTTTGTCCTTTCTGGATTGCACTTTTAAACTGCTAACCTGCTTTGCTAAGATATTCGTGATGGAATTCATTGTCTGCTCTCCACCTACACAACTTCTCTCAAAACATTGTCTTAGAAAAAAACATTATTTTCATCTGTTTTCGCCGTGATAGTTGTGATTGCACAAATGCTTTTCTAACATGTCAAGATCCTAGTTAACCCGGACTGAATTTGTTTGGATGCCACTAAACCTTATGGAAGAAAATGGAATTCTTTTGGTTCTAACTTTTGGTCCTGATATTGACACAAAAAATTTAAAATTAGCCATGTTCTGGTACCAATTTCAAGTACAAAAGTACATTACATTGACATCATAGAGATCAGTATTAAATGTTCTACATAGTATTGTGATTTACCCCCACTAAACTCTCATGCACAAATGATCTTCAGGATACAGCAACTTCCTTTTACAATAAAGCCAACAAATAATTTTCCTGTTGGAGTTTCTTCAGCACAGCCACCCAAAATACATACTCATTTCATAAGTAGGAATACTGCTGAAAATAATCAAAATAATCATTTTCTTTCCAAAGTCAGAAGGTGTTTCTGACTTGAATTTTTCCTTTTGTCTTTGTGATAAAATGTACATGTGTTGTTGTGTTTATTAGATGTAACAAATAATGTAATGAATGTGAGCCCTAGTCCTGAAAGCTAAACCACTTCAGTGCTGTTGTTACGGTTGAAGCGAGGAAAAGGAAGCTTTGTTTTCCAGCCCTGCTGAAGTCATTTCTGTCCCGCCCTGTGACATGACATGAGTTTGCTCAGTCAGCTTCATTTGAGCGTGGGAGTCTGCAGCTTGGCCTGGGACGGCTAAACAAGACTTTTCTTTATATGAAAAAGACAAATCACTTTGCTTGTTTGAAGGTGTGGATAAAAGATCTTTAATGGTCCTCCTGTCACTATAAAGAAGACCCTTACAGTTCTGAAAACTCGAAGCTCAAAGGAGCATTGTATTTGGGTTGTTCTAGATGTTTTCGTTTCTATGTAAGCTAACAGCTTGTGCCCAGGTTTCTGCCACAGCAATTACAAAAGCATTCACATACTTGGCACATGAGCGGGGAGCATGTCCTCCGCATCAGCCCATGCAGCTACTCAGTCTTGATCTCTATTCACCCCGTGAGAAAGTGCAGCTCTTTTAAGGGTGAAACACAACAGCATCCCTTATTTTTTAGTGAGATTACATTCTGAAGCAGCACATTACCTACATTTTTGCTTTGCAAAGGTCTGTTACAAAACCATGTCAGGACCAAAAACTTTCATTTTTGAAACTTGTAAGTCAGCTAGAAAGTTAATTTAAGATGCTTCTGCTTCCTCAGTGCATAAAGTTGTGACTGCAGTTGTACTAAAGAAGTGCAATGTAGCAAAGGAAATGAGGAACAAATTGCTGGTACTTTAATTTCTGTGGTATTTTCCCACATATCAATGCCTAATGTGCCAGCTTTGTGTTTAGGAGTAATTAAAGCAAAATGGAATATAATATAACAAGAATACATATGTAATGTTCAGCCACTTTCTGTGAATCAAACAATTCTCTATAATGTTATTGTTTGCTTTCGTTATGTGTCATTTGAGGAGCTAATTTGCAATGTAAATATATTTTAATGAAGGTAACTAATTATTAAGTGGTTTGATAACCTTGAAACAATTCAGTGTTAGATTCAGATTATCACTCAGAGATTTTCTCAGACAAATAAATATGTTTTCAATAAATTATGTTACTTGTTTTTGTCATTTATGAGTAATACACAATGATAAAGAATATGGGGTCAGTTTGTACGGATGAGGAAAGCTCATTCAAATAATTTCTGCAATGAACCACACTTGTAATATTATTTAGCTATCAGTTTACTATAGCTTGTTGGTTGTTTTAAATCATAAAGGACCAAGTGAAATCTCATGTTTCACATACTGACACTTTAATCAGCTAGTTTAGAGGGACACCTTGTGGCCGATAACAGTAGTGATCTTCACTCGTTCCTTTTTAAAAAAATATCCAAGAAAAGCAAGAGGGGTGAAATAACCCCAAAGGAATACAGAAAGTACAAATAGACCCACAGTTAAACAGGCCCCAAAATTACAATGCATTCATGTTTGCCTTTGTCTGTATTAGTACATTGCTGAATTGCAAAAAAACCCAAAAACTGTGCACTGGAGCAAGAAAAGTAAATTATTATTGGCAGCTAATGGCAATAATAGACTTGATGCTCTTGGCATAGAACATCAAGACAACTAAGATGAAAAATAAACAAAAGTGATTTTTTAAAATTTTATTTATAAACCTGGGTATTGTATTCATGTTACCACTATTCTACTTTTTAATTTGCAACACAGTAAAAATCAGTTACTGTTGTACAATAAAAAGCAAAACAAAGCAAAGTAGAAAAATAGACTTTTAAAATATAATTTATTGCTGTTTGTTCTATTATATAAAAATATATATTTAAATTCTGACGTAAAGCTTTTTGGACTGCTGCGTAAATCTGCGCATGCGTACCGACCACAACGTTAGCAGCAGCATTTCCTGCTTGCTCTTTCCACTTGAAGCAATGGCAGAAGTCAGGGCTTCCGTGATTTGTGGAGGTACGTTTATGTTTACCTGCCTTTTGCACCCTCAACAGTTTAACACACGCACTTTCACGCTTAGAACGAGGTCTGAAGCGGCTGCTCTATTAACTTTGGCCCAGACTGAAGCACAGTTAGCCTGAGAGGGCGACAGTAGCTTTAGCTGGTGATGCTTCAGTCATTAGGAGCTCATAGTTGCAAGTTGTCACTGATTTAAGCATGCCTATTTTTTTTTTCTGTCTTTTCCTGTTGCAGTTCTGGCAGCTTTCTTGAGCTCATCGGTGTTTGCTTTTGTTGAAGATCTCGATGAAACGTAAGTGATGCTTTTCTAATTTAAATTTCCAGCTGCAATGGTTGATTGAAACTTGCCCATGTAATAATGCAACTTCCTGAGTTCACAAACATGCTTTGTAAAACCATGTTTGTATGCATGGTTGGACAGTGATTGTTTAAGGTGTTTACATCTGAAAACGTGATACTTCTTTATGTATTGCATGACTTATAGCCTTTTGGAAATGTCAACATAATTTTTCTCTATATATTTTTCATTTAAATCAAGAATAAAAAAACAATTATTTTTTTGTATTCTTATTAAGCTTATCAAATAAACCTTAAAGGTTTTCTGTATTTCTATATTCTTGATCCAGTGTTTGCATGAGCCTGTCACCAGTATTAAGATGCACTATAGTTTGAAAAAGTATAATTTCAAAACCTTCAAAGATTGTCCTTCATACTGCTCCTACAGTTTAAAATCCTTTAAATAAGAAGTAAAAGAAAGTACCCAACCAGCATAGCCACATATTTCTGCAGCTGTACGAAGTTTAGAGTAATTTAGAAATACCCTTTGCCCCATCTGTTGCTGCCAGTTCAAAAGACACCCAATACATGTTTCTGTTGGTTATGAAAGAGAAATTTGACCTCAGCTTGCAAAATATACTAAAAGTTGTATGTGAAAACTAAAATATACTAAAAGTTGTATGTGAAAACTAAAGCAATCACATTTTCCCTCATTTATTAAGGTAGCAATACACAGGAGAACATCAAGAAAGCAAAATATTCTGCATTGCAGACCTATTTTATTGGAAAGATGCATGTCATTAAATACATATTAACGGTTGTCTGTACTATCAGATAAAAATAACAAAAAGAAATGTTACCACATACAGTTAAAACTAATAATCCATGTAAAGTTGCTTAATGAACAGTAGGGAAAATGGTAGCTTCCAAGTTTTTAAATGAAGACAATTAAAATTATGTTATAAATCTATTGATATATATTTGTTTTAAATACTTGTCTTAGCATTGCATACACTATATCACTCAAAAAGAGTTTTTAAAATATCTGCTGAATCAGTATAACTTTCTGTTTGTTTTTCTGCGATAGGTTTAAAGACACCAGGGAAAATGACGTCTGGCTGGTTGATGTGAGTGTGACATTTAACACGCATACAAACACAAAGTGATTCATTAAATTCATCAAAGTGTGGTTAATTTTGGGTTGAGCATGCCACTACCCTGATCATCGCTTGCTGATGTGGTATCTGCTGGGGAGGGTGTGTGTGCAACGTCCTCTGTGTTGGTGATTAGTTAAGAAGTCAAGCATGCGGAGAAAAGCCCAGGGGATTGGAGAGCTGTGGTGTTTGGGTCTGGGTCAAATCAGAGGCAAACGTGCCTTACCAGCTAGTTTGGTCTCCAGGAAAAACTTCTGTTAGTAAGGTTATTGGAACATTAGCGTTTGCATAAGCTGTTGCAACATTGGAAATATAAAGCCGTTTATGGTTGTTACTTGATTGTAAGCAAGTTTTAGGAGGTAAATACTGATGTAATCTTAGCAAACATGACTTAACCATGAATTAACTATGCTTTAGTTGGCAGACTGAGTTCAGTTTCATTAAGCACACTCAGGCCTGATTGCTGCAAATCCTATGGAATCAAGAAATCCTTTAAACATAACCTATCTGACCAATTAATACAGTATTAACTGTTCTTAAGTGGCTTAAAGTTTCTGTTTAGTATTGTAAAACCACTATTATGGCTTTTATACTTGAGCAAAACACAATTACAGGGATATCCACAATTGGATAAAACACAGAATGATGTTGAGCCTTCCTAGGAGTGGTAGTCTACCAAAATGACTCAGAGAGAACGTCCACGACTAACAGGACATTACAAAAACCCAAAAGCAAAATCTGAAGCACAGCAGGCCTTACTTGTCTCTGCAATTCTACAACAAGATAAAGATTGGACAGAAACTCCATAAGAGAGTTTCAGGGTGAAATCAGAAAGGCTTGTCCCACTTTTTCTGAAAGCACCTTGGCCGTTTTTTAGTCATTAGAAATGAATGAATCAGGACAATGAGGTGTGGACTGCTTTTAGTATCTTTTGTATCTAAGAGTTGCAGCTTGAAGGCTTTTGTTTTCAGAGAAATAACTTTCCTCTTGTGATATCTTCCAGTTCTACGCTCCGTGGTGTGGTTACTGTAAAAAACTTGAGCCGGTATGGTACGATGTGGGAGCAGAGCTGAAAAGCTCGGGGTCACCGGTGCGTGTTGGGAAGATGGATGCCACTGCTTATTCAGGTGAGTAAATCATTTTATAAATTAAATGTATGTAGATAAATATCCTTGCTTTAACTAAATTAGATGGCTACCTCAAGATTTTAAAAGTCTATGATATAACTATTGTTTCTCGTGTAATGGGAGTATTATTTTTATGAATTGCAGGAATGGCTTCAGAGTTTGGTGTTCGAGGCTATCCGACAATAAAGCTGTAAGTGTTCACCTTTTATTTTCTGGGAAATACTCGCATGGCTACTAACGACAAGCATTACATGCAAAAATGCTATTTAAAAATTACCATAATTCATCTGTGTTTGAAAAACTTTGCACACCTCAGTTGTGCAGTGCTAGTTAAAAAAAATACAGTAATTGTGGCCAATTTCCAATCCAGCTTTATCTATGAAGCATTTTAAAACACCAGCTAGAACAAACTTCTAAAATAATGTAAAATATGCATTATTACAATTATCAGCAGATTCTTTGTAGCATTTATTTATCATTAAGATTGTATTAAACAGACTTAAGCATTAATGTTGGTTAAACACAACCTAAATTAAGTAGTTTTCAGGTTGTCATTGAGCATCATGTCACACCTTCCTGCTGTCCTGTTCATTACAGACGAACTACAGAATAACAAGTAGATATGTTCTGGTTCATGCGTTGTTTCTTAATGGCCAGGATGCCTGTGCATCCTTAAAAAGTCTTACATTTATGCTTCAAACAAGCATAAATATAGAGCAGTCATTCTGTCATCTCATTAAGATGACTTTAACTTATAGAAAGAATATGATGCGACTACTTTTATTCTTTTTAAACTGACCTTTTGAAACCTTATGTCTTTATATCAAAATTACTCATACTTAAGTTGTAACTAACTTATGTTACTTCGATCAACTGTTGATTGGCAGGACAAATACCAAAATACTCTTTTCATTCTGTCAATTTAAAACCTTTATATACTGAACTTTTGTCCCTTTGCCTTTTTCTAATTTGTGTAATTATTAGAATTGTGTGTTGCTTCTGTTTGTGTCTCATCCCCTGAGGGCCAACCAGTGGGGATGCCCGAAGATAACTAACTGTATTCAGGAGGGAAAAATGTGTTGTTGTGTTTTCCTTGAGGCATAACTAAATGACAGACTCTGTTCACACGTTCTGTACTTGAATTTGATTATGTTTGGCTCTCCCAGATGCTGTCAGTTATATGTTTCAATATTTAATGCTCGGATATATTTTCCAGTATTATTTACAGATATGCTCTATAATCCCTGGCTTCCTGTTGGTGCCATTTTCCCTGATCCCGTCTGTTGTAAGAAATGATTTCTAGAATGACAAGTGACATCTTCCCCATTAAATCTCTGGCTCTATGTAGACGCCAGCTGCGTAACGGCAGAACGCATGTTGACATGAGAATAAATGATCAGGGTCTCCTCCATGTGTTTGAAGCTGGGACATTTATCAGCAACACTGCCATAATGGGCTTCCCATTTGGTTTCATCAGGTTCATTTGGGAAAGTGCCACAGGATCACTGCGGGGCTCATGACATTAAACCTAGAAAGTGATGAAACGGGCATCAAATCGCACGAGATGCCTCCC